TGAAGAACATCCCTCGAACCCCCAAATCAGAGAGTGAGGCTCCAGCCTGCACACCTTCCCCCCCGCAATGTTGGCCCTGTAAAGCAATAATGACTGTCCTGCACCCGCTGTGTGTCCCAACCCGTGGCAACAGCATCGTTCCTTGCTGGCATTTTGGCCCCTGGTGCCACTTGCTTGTCTGTGGCGGCCCCAGGATGTCCCTGTTCCTGCTGCTTTCTGGCAGAACATCTGTGTCCCCCCCAAGGATGTCCCCATCCGTGTTGCTGCCCTGCAGAGCAACTGCAGCGTGTGTCCCCCTGCCCCGAGGCTGTCCCTACCCATGTTGCTTTCCTGCAGAGTATTTCATCCTGTCCCCGTGTCCCCCCCAGGATGTCCCCATCTGTCTTGCTGCCCTGCAGAGCAGTGTTATGTCCCTGTGTCCCCCCAGGATATTCCCATCTGTGTTGCTTCCAGGCAAAGCACTGCTGTGTGTCCCATCCCTGGGGAGATGGACCTGAGCCTCCCTCCTCACCCCTGCTCCCCCCTTCCCGATTGGGTACAAGGAAAGAGGAGAGGGGAGGGTGAGGCTGCAGCATGGAGGCAGAACTGGGAGCAGTGGGACCACCGGGAGCTCCCTGGCGTGGGGACATTTCCCCTCCCTGACCCAAACTGGGGTGCCCTGGGTGGGGTTTGCATCTCGGTGGCTTGGCTGGTGGGGGCTGAGGCTCAGGGTGGGTGCTGGGGCAGTGTTTGGCATGTGCCACCTGTGTCCTCATGCCCCCATGGGCAGGGACCCCATGGGCAGGGCCCCGCAGAGTGTATTAGCGCTTTCCTTTTTTTAATCTTGCTATTTTCTTACAGAGGTACTTACCTTCGCATGACGGTCATAGAGGCATTTATTAAAGAATAAGCAGAGTATAGGTTTATAAATTCTTATAGAGCTAGTGGAAATATTTTTATCCCTCCACAACTGTTCTCAATAAATAGAGCTGACCCAGCTTGTCTGCAACCCTGAGTCGTTTCCACGTGGGCGGTGGGCACAGTCCCTGGGATGATGGTGGCTGGCCCCATGGCCTCTCACTCCTGGCTGCTGTTTCCCTGGCAAAGGCTCAAACCAGATTTTGTGGGGTTATGCTCCACCCACATGAATACTCAGCTTGGGGTGAGGGAGCCCCACGAGACCCAGCTCTGGGGGTGAAGGGGCACAAAGCGATGAGGTTCCCCCCTGCCTGCTGCTGCCTTGTCCCCCTCTCACATGCTGCCTTCGAGTCCCATGGCCCCCAGCACTGCTGGCCTTGGGAACTGGGAAGGGGTAGAGCAGGGAGCCTGAGCCAGGGGATGGAATTGCCCTCCACCTGCTGCCCCAGCCATCCTCGTGCCCGTTGTAGCCCTGCTGGGAGGCAACGTGGGCACTCAGCATGGCTGCTCATCCCAGTTACCCCAGTTTGGCTTCATCAGGAGCAGGATGAAAGGAAGGGTGGGCAGAGTGGCACCAGGATGGATGAGCTGCGTCTCTACCTGCCTTCCAGTGGGCATCATCCACCTGCATCCTGTTATCCCTCCCTGCACCCTGCTATCCTGTCGTGCACCCACCCCGCTGTCCTCCACAGGGTGCAGGTGGGCTGATCTAGCACAGGTTGGGGTGGAGGAGAACTCACCCCACTCCCATGGGCATCCTTGCCCCTGATGCCTTAATCACCCTGACCATCCCCACCTGGCCCTCACGCACACCCTACACACCTCACTTAAGCCCAGCAGCCCCTTTGCCACAGGTGTGGTTGGCCTAGCCCTTTCCTTTGTGTTCCCTTGCTCGCTTGTGGGCTTTCCTGGCTTTCTCTGGCGTGTTTTACTTCCCTCTGATGGCTGCTGGATGCTGCTGCATCCCTACTCGCTGCCCTGGTGGGTGCTGGCCCCAGCCACAGCCCCCCAGCGCGTTTGCTGTGCAGAGCACACCATGCTCCCTCCTCTTCACCCACAGGTAGGAAGTTCTGCGGATTGGCGGTGGTGGAATACACGAGTGGAAAACCAGCCTTCCCCCACCGTGGG